CGGCCCCCCGAGACGGCTTCCCCAGCGGAATCCCGCAGGAATCCTCTGCCGTGTCCCCGCAGCGGGAAGCGCTCGGGACCCGCGTCCGTGCAGTGCACGGGTCTCGCGTCCCTGCAGCGCCCGGGACTGGTGTCCGTGCAGTGCCCGGGACTCGTGTCCCTGCAGCGCCGCGGCTCTTCACGAGCACCCTGGCTCACTCCTGCTCTTGGCCGGGGTCCCTGTTTAGCCCAGGGTTGGCTTGGGGCTGTTAACCCTCGGTGGCAGAGACCCTTCTGCAGGGCACTAGGGGCACAGAAATGGCTCCCGGGATTCGAGAAAACTGCGGGAGGGGAGTGAGCCCAAAGAGTGCAGTATCTGGGCCGAGGGAGAGCAGGGAAGACCCTAGATGTGCATCAACCCAGCTGTGCCCAGGCTGCTCCCCATCGCCCTGCTGCGCATTAGCAGCAGCCGCCGGTCGCTGTTGCACGGCCACAGATAGCAGAGGGGTTAAAGCGCTCCCGGCTCGCCGAGCTGCGCGGCTGCTGCTGCGCTTTCAAGTGGCCGTCGTGGATTCACTAAGGGCGCCGCACGGCTCTTTCTGGGTGAGAGTTCGTGGATGAGCATCAAACCCCTCTGCGCTGCCCACGGGCCGGCGCGTCGCCCTTGCCAGGTGCCCAGCCCGCAAGATTTGGTGGCAGAAGCCGGAGCTTTGGGTTCCGGGCACTTCCCACCCGCTTCAGCCCAGCGCGTTGAACCCTGTGCCCGGCCTCTCCTTCCAGCCGCGGGTTTAGCTTTTCATTTAGGTTCTGCTTGGTAAATTACAGGTACTGTTCTGCTGCTTATGAAGCATTAATCTAATTACAGTAATTATGGCAAATGATGCAACGCCTGTAAACATGTAATTAGCATGCGGGGACAACGCCAAGCAACGCGATGACAACACACGGCAATGCAGAATGCCGCCTTCTCCCGCTCGTGTGCGGCGACAGGGTTTTAAAGCTCAATGCCTCGATTATTTCTTCAGAAGGAGGTTTTGTCAGACTGAGCCGCTTCCTTCCACGCTGCTCTCGAGCAAAGCCTGTGACGCCCGTGCCGTATTGCCCACCGTCTCGGCCAGTTCTGTGCATGCAGCCCTCCCTCTGTACGCCTCCGAAATTGCTGTATTTGATGTAATCAATCATATTCTCACTCACCGCTTCTGATAAAACAAACACCCAGGCAGCCACCCATGTTACACTTTGGGGCTCTGGGAAGTGCTTGAAAAGGGGGAATTTCTAGGACACTGGAGCAGAGCGTGCTGTTTAGCAGCACTCCCCTCCTCCACCTTTCCTTCTTGTAATTCAGAAAGGGCAGCCGCGCTCAGTTTGGGCACCCCAGACAGGAGAAGCAGCTTTGACAGCCCCTCCTGCCCTTGCCATCATGACCCTGGCCTAGTTCTCCATCAGCCCCAAGCAGGAGAGTCTCACAGCAAGCAGTGTCCAGGGCGCGAGGCTGAGCCTCCCCAGCGAGGGGCAGGAGGAGACGGCCTGGCCTGGAGGGGCAGGAGGAGACGGAGCCGCTCCACGAGGGGCAGGAAGGGGTAGGGCAGGAGGAGATGGAGCTGCTCTGCAAGGGGCAGGAGGAGACAGGGTAGGAGGTGACGGATCAGCCTGGAGGGGCAGGAGGAGATGGATTGGCCTGTGAGGGGCAGGAGGAGATGGAGCAGCCCGTGAAGGGCAGGAGGAGATGGAGCAGGAGGAGACAGATGGGCCTGGAGGGGCAGGAGGAGCAGCAGCCGCTCCGCGAGGGGCAGGAGGAGCCGGAGCTGCTCCCGGCGCAGGGGGCTGCTGCCGCCTTATTTGCATCTCAATCCCCACAATGCTCTTCCGGCTACTCACAGCTATTCCATAGTAGTGCTCTTGGCTGAGATCTGGGAACACGCTCAAAGGGTGAGGCAGCTTTTGGATGCACTGAGCTGTTTTCTGTTTGAGCTGTGAAAAGCAAACATCTTTTCAAGAGAGCACACTCGGAACAGTAATTTTTTTTTTTTTTTTCGCCTTTGCCTTTGCCATTCAGAAAGGGGGAAAATTCACCGAAATCTGTGAGGAAAATATTGTATCACATGAAAAGGAAACATAAATCCCTCGCAAGGAAGGCCTCTCACTGCCCCAAAAGCAGAAGTCACTGAGTTGCTACCCTGGCCTAGTGCTGCAGGACTGGAGATACAGGTTCTGGAAGGAGTTTCCTCCACTCCCACACTTGAACCCTGCTAGAGCTCCACTGTCTTCCTCAAGTTGCAGCTCGGGTAGGCGAGGACCTGCATGAGCACTTGCTTCTCAGTCCATCTCAACTATCTGTGTCACAGCTACATGCTTAGGCGCAGGAGGCGGAGGGGATTTTGCAGACTGTGAGAATGGGAGGCTGCAGGACCCTCTCGAGGAGAGACGAGCTATTTGCTTCGATAATCAAGCGTGCAGGTCTGGAGAAAACCAAATCAAGCAGTGATTAGAGATGGGCTCAAGCTCAGGTCGGGATTTAAATTTTCCCTCAAACCACAGCTGGATTTAGATCTTAAGTATGAGGGAGAAAACTCTCCTGCCAAGTTGGGATCCAAGCCAGAGCAGTG